AGAAGAAGAGATAACGTTGGACGGTTACTACCTGCCTCATAGACACGTGATTAAAGAGAGCAGCACTACAAGGATAAGACCAGTGTTTGACGCTTCGGCTGCCGGGAACGATGGATTTTCACTCAATCAGTGTTTAGAGACAGGTCCGAACTTAATTGAGTTGATTCCTAATATATTGGTACGTTTCAGGCGCCATAAGATTGGAGTAACCGCAGACATCCGTAAGGCCTTCTTGCAAATAAGCGTCTCGCAGGAAGACAGAGACGTGTTACGATTCCTCTGGTGGAAGAAGTCGTGCTCAGAAGAAGTAGAAGTATACAGGCATCGAAGAGTGGTTTTCGGCGTGTCCAGTAGTCCCTTTTTATTAGGCGGAACCATCGAATATCATTTGGAGAGGGCACTGCAAGGAGCCGAAACTGAAGACGAGAGAAAGGTTATTCAACACCTTCAGAAATCTTATTACGTGGATAATTGCGTAACCAGCGTCGACTCGGAAGATGAATTATTTTTATTTAAAGAAGAATCTAAACGAGTCATGGCTAAAGGAAAATTTGATCTTCGTGGATGGGAACATTCTGGACAGAAAAGTATAACAGAATCAACCTCCGTGCTTGGTTTAAATTGGAACAAGGAAGACGACACTCTGGGGCTGGCACCATCATTGCTGAAATTACAGACTACTACATCGATTACGAAACGAGCTATATTGTCAGCGGCTCAACGAGTGTTTGATCCTATAGGCATATCATCTCCTGCGTTTCTAAAGCCTAAGTTATTGTTGCAGGAGCTCTGGTCGCATAAGATTACTTGGGACATGGAAGTACCAGCAAACATCAAGATCGAATTCAATGAATGGCAACAACAGCTCTTTTGGCTGGAGGGATTACGAATACCACGCTGGGCTTACCGACAAAATAAAGAGACTAGAGATTTATCTTTTCACATATTCGTAGATGCGAGCCAGGATGCGTATGCAGCTGCATTATTTGCGCGTACAGAGGGACCGGAAGATGTCTACGTACAACTTGTTGCAGCCAAATCCAGAGTGGCACCGGTAGAAAAGGCTACGATACCTCGGTTAGAATTGCTTGCCGCCACCATTGGTGTTAGACTGTGGAATTCACTAAAGGATTCACTGGATGCCGGAAAAATAGAGGTCTTTTTCTGGTCAGACTCTACAACGGTTCTAGCTTGGATAAACAGAGACAAGCCTTGGAACACTTTTGTCTATAATCGAGTAAAAGAAATACGTAAGTTGTCAGATCCGAATCAGTGGCATCATATCCCAGGAACTATGAATCCGGCAGATCTACCCTCGCGAGGATGTACAGCAAAACATTTGGTGGAATCCCGATGGTGGGAGGGGCCAAAATGGCTCAAGTCATCTAAGCAGCAATGGCCTATCGGAGATCATGCTACAAACGAAGAGGAGATCAATAAAGAAATGAAGAAGTCGGTCAATAAAAAGAAGATTCAGTCGAGTGATGCATTGTCGGAAGAAAGGTGCATGCTTGCTTTATCACAAGAAGAAGGTTGGTATATGAGAAGGCAGTCCAGCTACCTGAAGATAGTACGTACTGTGGGATGGATTCTTCGTTTTATTAGTAATTGTCGAACGTCACGAGATTCAAGATTAGTAGATGAATTGACGGCGAAGGAATTCACTACAGCTGAGCTCACGGTTTTAAGATTGAGTCAACAAGAGTCCTTTAACGGAATAAGCGATGCAAGATTCAAAACTTTAAACGTGTACGAAGATGAAAACAAGTTGCTGCGACTGAAATCACCAGTCATCAACCGAGAAGATACATACGACTTTCGTTGTCCTATCGTACTAGATCCAAAACACTTATTGATCAAGAAGTTAATTGATTATAAGCATAAACAACTGAATCACGCTGGAATTCAGATTGTAATGGGTAATCTACGAGAAATGTGTTGGATCCTTAATTGTAGAGCTGCAGTACGATCAGCGATAAGTAATTGTGTAACATGCAAGCGTCACAAAGTTAATAAGTTAGAGGCTACTTCCGGAGACCTACCCAACGAGCGAGTGAAGGATGCCAAGGTATTCGAGGTTGCCGGAATCGACTATGTAGGACCATTATACCTAAAGAATTCGCAAAAGGCATGGATATGCTTGTTTACATGTGCAATCTATCGAGCAATCCATTTTGAACTTACCACATCACTATCCACTGATGCCTTTCTGCAAGCGCTACGCAGGTTTATAGCAAGAAGAGGAAGACCTGCAATAATTTATACTGACAATGGAACAAATTTTGTGGGAGCTCGTAATCTGCTTCACAAAATTGATTGGGACAAGATCAAGAGGTTCAGTGCAACACAGAAGATAGACTGGCGCCTTAATCCTCCTGCAGCGCCATGGTGGGGAGGATGGTGGGAGCGCTTGGTTAGAATTACAAAGACTTGCTCAAGAAAACACTGAAAAAGGCCTGCTTGTCTTATGAAGAATTAAATACGATTTTATGTGATTGTGAGGCCATCATCAACTCACGTCCATTGGGTTATTTGGCGGATGATACCACGCAGTTGAAACCTTTAACACCGATGATGTTCTTGCAAGAAACCATTCAAAACGAAGTTCCAGATTTGGATAGAGTAGAAGTCAATTTGACCAAACGAATAAAATATCGACAAAGCTTACGGGACGAATTACGCAAACGCTTTCGTTCCGAGTATTTGGGTCAGCTGTCTCGCAGAACAAAAAGTAACAGTTTTGTAATCAAGGAAGGAGACATCGTTCTGTTGGGACATGACAATTTAAAACGACTAGACTGGCCGCTAGCTAGGGTGGTCAAAGTATTGCCAGGTAAAGATGGAGTTACACGAGTAGTCAAACTAAAGACTGCAACTGGTGAACTGGTGCGACCCGTTCAACGACTGTATCCCTTGGAGATGCTCCCGAGCACTATGGAGACAGTGGATTATGACATGAACGCAGCCGACCAGACCAAGGAAGAGGATCAAGCAGCTACCATAGATGCCACCCAAGACGTCCTTAAGAGAGAATTCCGGACCAGAAGCGGTAGACGCGTAAAAGCTCCGGATAGACTCGGGTTTTAAAATAGATTTTCTTGTTTTTTTCGGTTCCCTTTTTTTTCTTTCAGATTAGTTCATAGATTTGGTTTCCGTTTAACAGTGACCTGAGTTATTTTCTGTATTCATGTTATTTATGTTGTGGATTGAGTTCCTCCCGCAACTCAAGGTGGGAGGATGTTAGAAACGCGATCAATAACTAGATCGATATTATTGCCATTCAGACACATCTG